AAAATTGAGTTAAGTTGGAGGTCAAAGAGGGGGTTAGGTCTTGGAGTTTAAGATATAGTTATTTCGAATTAATTTGTAAATTCGGTTAAAAATTAAAAAAGACGAATTAATATTAATTAATTAACGAGCTTTATAATCTTAACAAAATAAACAAATAACTTAACTATAAACTGATTAACTTGAAACTATGAAGTATTTAAATAAGAAATACAATCTTTTGAGATGATTTTTGAATATTTATAAAATGTACTAATTATATATAAAATTATATAATAACATATATATTATTTAAAAATTATGAAAAATGATAAAATTAATTAAAAATAACTTGAAAAAATATTTTGAACTTTGTAAAAACTAATTATTTCAAATCGTTTGGAATTTACGAAACTCGATGATTAATATATATTGTGGAGGTCCAAAATTGGGTGTCAACAAGTATACCTTTGTTATCAAACACCTCTTTTCCCTTTCCTTGTGGTTTCCACGTACCTTTCCCCGCAATTCGCGCAACTCTTTTCCATTGTGTATTTTGTTTCTTTTGAGGCGTTATGAAGTAACGTGTGTAGTTGTTAGCGCCTTCAAAAATATGTTATGGTTCATTATCAGCATAAAGATTAACCAACTCCATAAATTTATTCTGGTCGTAAAATGGTTCATCTCTCATGAATCCTACTAAGTAATTCATGAGTTCAATATTCTTAAGAAAAGAAAGAAGACCTTTTAATCTCGTGGTTCTAAATAAAAGTTATGTCAAATGTACCAAAATGTCCTTTAATCTTGTGGCTTTAAACATGTCACGTGGAAAGTTGAAGTGTTGCCAAAAAAGGAAAGGAGTCATTCTTTTTGAAACAGACTAAAAAGGAAATTAGGTCATTCTTTTTAAAACGGAGAAAGTATTAGCTGATGTAGATCGAATTAATCAATTTTGCAAGGAAAAACTTCGGTATATTGCGTGAGCACAATCGCAAGGAAAAAGTCAAGTCACAACGATAATTTTTGCAATGACTATCACACTCATTAGTCATATGTCAGATGCTGAAGGAAATCTATGACATGCTACAATGCCCTCACGGGTTATCTTAATGACCATAACGGGTCTTGAATGCTGTCTTTGGAATATCACATTCACTTACTCTTAACTGATGGTAGCCTGATTTGAGTTCTATCTTAGAAAAACAAGTAGCACCCTGAAGTTGATCGAAGAGATCATCAATTCTCGGAAGAGGATACTTATTCTTGATGGTAACCTTGTTCAACTGGTGGTAATTTATACACATTCTAAGGGAACCATCCTTCTTCCTCACAAATAAGACCGGAGAGCCCCAATGTGAGACACTTGGTCGTATAAAACCCTAATCAAGGAGATCTTTGAACTGTTCTTTTAGCTCTTTCAACTCTGCTGGAGCCATTTTATATGGAGGAATAGATATAGGACGAGTATCAGGAAGAATATTTATACCGAAGTCTATCTATCTTAGGAGGGACTCCAGGTAGATCATCTGGAAATAGTTCTGGAAACTCACTCACAACTGGAACTGACTCAAAATCATATCCCTCGCTACTTGTCAAATAAGGTAGAGGTGACACAATACTCGTCCTTGTCTATGTCGACGATATAATTGTCATCGGCAGCCTCTCTCTTTATTGGAAATTAGTGTTACCATTTGCTTAATTTTGACTTGTGTGCCTCTCTCTCTATTTGTTATTGACGGTTTACCTTTTTGTTTGTAACTTTGCTATTCATTGATGCTTCTTAAGATATGTTGCACTTTATGGTAACACTAACTTCTTGTTAATCAACCAGTTTGCGATAATGAAACATGATCTGTTACCTGTCCTCAGGGTGATGAAGCTACTCTTTCATGAGTATTTAGCGATGAACTTAGATTACCGTGTAAAATAAACCTATATACACTTTATATTTTATTTCTCATTAATGGTTTAAGAAAGTAGAATTTGATTTATAGATGTTGGAAGACAAGAAACAGTCAAAATACTTGTATGAAGTTGATTGCATAGACAAAACAAAAAGAAAATAAAGGTACGATATTATATTATATTACAAGAAAGGTAAGAAAAATTGAGAGTTTACTAATTGATAAATTCTATTATACAAGTCTATATTTTCAAGATCAATATCAGCTTATGGATGTCCCTGTAAGCATTCTACATTAAGATTACCATCGTCTTCCTTGTCCAAAATAGCAAGTACTTCATATCCAACATCGTTTTCCTCTACATTAATGTCGTCTTCTAATTGCAAAGATGAATCAATAAGTTCTTAAACGTCACTCATATTCTCATCGCTAAGTCCGTTTTCGTTATCATCATTTGGTTTTCTCTTCTTCTTTATCTTACAAATTACATAACCCTTGCTTTTAATTTCTCTAGCAACCAAATAACCATCATACAAATAGTATTCCGTCATTAGCCACTCGCCATTAGCATTCTTGTTATCACTTTCGCCGGTGTACTTCAAACTTTTCACATACCCCATAAGTCTACCTTTGTTGTCAAACACCTCTTTTCCCTTTCCTTGCGGCTTCCACATACACTTCCCACCAATTTGGGAAACTCTTTTTCCATTTCGGATCTTTTTCTTTTGGGCGTTATGAAGTAATGTGTGTAGCTGTTAGCGTCTTCAGAAATCTGTCATGGTTCATTGTCCGCGTAAAGATTAACCACCTGCATATATTAATTTTTATTGGGAAGTGGTTCATCTCTTGTAAACCTGATTAAATAATTCATTTACCTATTTTAAGATGTTGATTACTTGCTAACAATACTATATTTTTTAGTATGTTTTTAAAATTGTTATATTTGGTCTAATTTTGACTTTGGACCAAATCTAATATAAATATTTATATATAGAATGTTGTTTATAAAATTTCAAATATTATCTTGTAAGAACATCCCACACCAACTATAAATATCTTTCTTTTGGTCCTTAATATTTCACCCCCTCCATTGCTTTCTCTAATGCAAATTGAGAGATAGAGATTTTCAAGCACTAACTTCTTTCTCTCCTTACTCTCTATTTTTCACACATAACAGTGAGCTCCAACGTATAAGCACAGGTATGACATTTTTCATATGTATAAATTGGTTCTAAAAATTTCACAGACTTTCTAATAGATGGATTTCAAAAATAGAATTGGTTCAAGTAATTCAACAAGTCGGTGGCGTCAAGGCACAAAATTCTATTACAACTGCCCACTAAACTAGTAGAATCGTTACTTCACTCAAATGAAAAATCAAAATGGTTATCTTGATCCATATTTTCATTGTTACTGAACAAAGCATAAATATCTATTTCAGTGTTCTCAAAGTATATTTGAATTAGGATATGATTATCTTGATTTTTATTGATATGTATAGAGATAAAACTAGGGGCCGTAACAAATCATGACACTCTCTTCTTACCAAGCCTAATTTTATCTTTACGCATCTCCACTGAAAACAAGATGATCACAATTTTATCTGAAATTACTCTGAATTACCAAAAATAAATATTTATGTTTTGATCCATAATAATGAAAATTTAGATTGAGATACCAAGTTATTAGATTATTCATTTGAGCAAAATAACAATTCTCTTAGTATTGTGGACAGTTGTAATTGAATGTAGTGCATTGTCGACAAAGGCCTATTGAATTACTTGAACAATTTCTATTTTGGGATTTCATTTATCAAAAAATTTGTAAAGTTCTCAAAACCAATTTATACGTGTGAGAAATAATACGATACCGTTGCTTATATGTTGGGGTTTGACTTTCATTTTATTTGCTTCTTCCCGTGCTTTACAAGCGATTACAAAGTTTATATTTACGATTTGTTTCAACTTTTGTGATTAGCTCAAAATTTAAAAATTTAAAAAATTGTATTTTTGTTTATAGGCTTCTTGTCGAATGAGTATTGATACAAATGATTAGATACGTATTAAGGAACCTAGATTTGAAATTTAGGGTGATTTGATGTAGTTTTTTTAGGTGTTTTGGATGAATCTAGTGCTTAAATTCAAGAAAAGAAGACGAAGTCAGGTTATGTATAGTAGTATATAATAATGTATATTATTGTATAGAATTTTATATATTGTTATATATTAGGTGTATAATATTGTATATAAGTTTATAAACATTGTTATAAAATAAAATTGTATATAACTGTATAACTGTGTATGATGTTGTATACCGGATTTTTTAAACACTATACTAAGAAAATAGTGAAATAGTGGTAGGATGATTACTAGAAATGTGGTTTTGTACAAACTATTATAACGACAAAAATGTTTTTTTTTTTTTGGGCTAAAGAATTGTTATATAAGTTTTGAGGTATATTTTTACAAAATAAGTTAGATAATTGTGTTTTTCTAAAAAAAATCCTAAACAAAACGGCCACTCAACCATTATTGAATTCTTTTTTTACAAAAAATACGTTATCTTTATTAGATTTTCTTGTTCACAATTTGCAAATTTAGATTAAACAAGCCACAGTGGGAGCATACTACGTTCAATTGAACAGATCGAACAAATTCGAATTGACATGAATCCCCCAATTGACACCACTGAGTAAACTACTTGCAACAGCCACAAAAGCACATCAAATAATTCAAAGCATTACAAACTCAACTTAGCTTATAATGTTTCTAAGTTGAACTTTATTGTAACACCAACTTCTTGTTGATCAATCAGCTTGCAATAATGACACATGATCAGTGTCACCTACATGAAATTATGGAAGTTGACAAATGAAATTGCACATATAGTTCATACATAATAGTCAGCTTCTTTTACATTGTGTGTTTGGATAGCACAAGTTGTGTAACAAAATGTTAGAAATACAAAGACATAAATACCCATTCTTAGGAACTGGTTTTTACCTCGTACAACACGGGAAATGACTGAAAAATAATAATTCCACGAACGCTTTAAAACTAGTTAACCAAGCAAGTGAACAAAGCAACACCATCATATGATGTTGATGCCATTGGATCATCATGAGCTAAAAAATATGGGCATCTTTGCTCATTAATCCAAGGAAATTCCAGAGATGCATAATAATAATTCACATTGGGAACAAGAATTCGACTGTGACTTCAAATTATCATTTCCCATGAGCCTGTCTACTCTTCCACATTAACCAGTTCATACTCGACTAAAGAAAGGTTGTTCTCCTGGTTAACATCAAAATCAGCTGGTTCAGTAACCTCAACACGACCCCATTTGTCTACTGCAAGTCGCATGGCACCCTTGAACATATCAATCTTTGCATTTCGCAGAATGACAGTCGACCCAGGCTTCATCATATCAACTGAATATGAAAGGAAATACGTGAATATCCAGAACATAAAACATAAAACATAAAACAATTTACCAGAAAAAAAGGAACTACTCTCGTTCAGGCACAAAACCACATCAAAGCATGACAAACTCCAAAAGCCAATAGATCTGGATATTTTCCTGGCTCTCAATACACAAATGAATCATCAATGTAGTCAAACAGGCAGGCCAAGCAAATCAATAGCATAAACCATTTCTCCAACAACAACATACCCCGTGTACTCCCACAAAGTGGAGTCTAAGGAGGGTAATATGTAATAAACCAATATTTCTCCATGAAAAGAAAATATGCAAGTATTTGCTATCTTAAAAGAGGGGTTAATAGCTACTCCGTTGTTTCAACTTGTTCGTCTGAGTTACTACGTCAACCATCAATCGTATATTTTCTTTGATCATAATGTTTTCAAATACTTTCTAAATATATTAAATTATAACTATTGTGACTATAATCCTTTTGTGTAGTTTCTAAAAATGTAAATCTTATTTCAAAAATATTGAAGATTCTATGTCCGAATTCACACCAATCAGTAGTTAGTTTGACCCTGGTACTCCGAATCAAGCCAAACAAATTGAAATGGAAGGAGTAATGCATTGATAAGTGAGGGATGGTCTAGCGGATGTGACCCTTCACCTCAAGAAAATAAGTTTGAGTTCGTCACAACTCGCGACACTATCAAAGCACGAAAATGACCATTACTAGATCCTAAGCAATGAGGTCCAGGGGTGGCATTCTTTTTTTCGATGACAAGGGAAACTCGTGGCTGCTATCCTTTGGGTGAGCACAGGTAAAACTCCCACTCCTATTCAATAGCTTGCAAACCACACATGAGAGTTAACCCGCACTAGGCATGCAAGCCCGGTGCGACGAACTCAACCCATAAGGCAAACCCTTTGCTTTCGCTAGCAAGGGATTTCAAACTTAAACCTCTCCAATATGGAAGTCCCAAGCCCAAACCATTGGGCCACCCCGAATGGTCCAGGCCCAAGGGTGGCATTTTAAACTAAGCTATTCAAGCTCCATCCGAAAACGAACCACACCCCTGTTTACTATAGATTAGGAAGATAGTCAAACAAGTCCAGATAACAAAATGCATTCCTATCCATTAAACGGAAAGTTCAATAAAGGGACTGTGGTGCAGTAAGGGGAGCAAAAGTACTTTTAGCTACAAGATTTTATTCGACCTCATTGCTTCCTAACAAAAGGAGCTGAACAGGTCTATTCTAAAGCACAATGTTTATAGAGTATAAACCTACAAATCGAAACATCCTCTTCGCCATAATCCTGACACTCTATGAAAATATAGACACAGCAAACAAGCGTATTATTTAGAGTACTGGAGTTTTCTCATTGAGCAAGCCAGATTAAGACACAACTTAGATTTCCCAATTACACAAGTAAACTCAACTCAATTATATATATACACACTAATATAAAACACGAAAACAGATCGACATCCTTCATTAACATATAAATGCACTCATTTCTATTAGATCTCTCTAAATTCTTCAATATACATTAAATAGATGACTGTCATTTGCAGGTTTTCTCAAATAATTGTAATCACCAAAATCAGTGCATAAAAAGGTCAAAATTTCGAAAAATTAAAACCAAATACAAATGAAAGCAAGCAAATTATACTAAAAGGAAAATCATTTTCCGAGAATTAGAGATTATTTTGTTCATACCCTGTTCATTACGAGCAGTGAAGAGGATGCACCCGGTTTCATCACCGACAAGGCACTCGGCGAGACGCGCCGGACCACGAGGGTTTAACGACGCTGATGATCTACCACCTCGGTTGGCGCCGCCGGTGGCTTTGACGGCATTCGAATCAACAACCTTAACAGTCAAGTTGTGTCCATGTGTCCCTGGCTTTAAGCTTTCCGCTTTGACGAAAACCGGCTTCTTCTTCTCGGAGGTAGCTGCCGTACTTGGTGCCGCCGCCGCTGCTGGTGTTGCCATTTCCGGTACGAAACCTTAAACCCTAATTTTCAATTTTTTTTGGAAGAACAATTCGGTGGTGTGTGAAGAAAAAACAAAAGTGATTTTCGGGTCTTAAAGTGGGCCTCTTGTATTGACTTGGTTCTACGTCTTTGCGTGTTCCCAAAAAAGCAATTTAATTCATTATTGGGGAAAAAAGCAAATGCAAAATAATTGGTATCAATTATCTTATTTTTATGTCCTTTTTCACAAAAGATTTTCACTTTTATCGTTATGAAAAAGACTATTTTCTTCATTTCAAATTGTAGGAGGGCGATAAATTTCATTTTTTTCTTTTATATTTGTGTATAAGCACATTTTATCTATTATTATACACTCTTTAACAAGATTGACACATTATGTGTAATGTTTTCCATTTAGGTATAATTTTATATAATATTGTATATTGGCTACGTAATTCATTATTGGAGAAAAAAGCATATGGAAAATAATAGTTATCTTATTTTTATGTCTTTTTTCATAAAAGATCTTCATTTTTAAATATGATGGATCTGAAAAGATTATTTTCTTTTGTTCAAATTGTAAGAGGTCAATAAATCTCAATTTTCTCTCATATGATAAGCACTTCTTATATATTGGTATACACTCCTTTACAAGGTTGACACATTATATAGTAATATTTTCCGATCAGGTATAATTTTGAATGTCATATAATATTGTATATTAGCTACGTGCCTAATATCTTATGTTGGGTTGTATATTTTTAAAAATTTTCAAAAGCTTTTGCATATGTTTTCAAGCGTCTATTATGTGAATAAGTTAATCACATAAAATATGTTACCTCTTTTAATTATATACATTATAACCTCAACTAGAACAAGTGTGAGGTTTGACGGCATATTACAATGTCTATAATTAAAGGATTGACATATTTAAATGGTTGACCTATCTACGTAATGAATGCTTCAGAACGCGAGCAAAAACTTTCTTGAAACTAAACAAAAAACGTTTAATAATAACATTTTATCAAATGTTTAGGTGTTCAAATAAAATAAATTGGAGTTTCAGAAATACCTCTTGACCTCTTACAATTTGAACAAAAATGACATTTTTAAAATTTCTTATGTGTAAAAATGATAATCCCTAGTAAAACCATTATAAAACTTAAAAAAATTGTAAAGGGCTAAAAACTATTTTTGCTTTAAAGTTCGAGTATATGTAACTATTATTTAAAATAAATTTTAAAAAAAATATATCATAAAAATGGAACAAAGGGAGTATTAATTAGGGTTAGTTTTTTTCATATGATTCTATTTATTTATGGATTGACCAAATATATGGATCAAGTAACACATGGTTAAAGCACTAAAACATCCCTATATCTCATTTTTAGTACAAATACCAAACATTGTATTTATACATGTTATAAGGAATATAATCCCTACCCTTTTTATTCCTTGATTCCTCGAGTCAATGAAAATGCCCAAAAAACAGATACATAACAATAATAACTATGCCTCGATCCCAAATAAGTTGGGATCGACGAAACGAGTCCTCGCTTCTATCATCAAGAAAATAGATAAATAAAACAGTGGAAAAAGTAAAGAAAAGATTTCTTTATTTCCAGAAGAGCACCAGAGTTCTTCTTCCTTGCTTTGATTGGATATACAAAAATACAAGGACATACAACAAGGTTTTCTTCTTCCTTGAAAGATTGAGAAAAATAACAAGAGGGGTTATATTATGTTAGTATTATAGAGGTGATACATTTGGCATAGTGCACAATTATGCCCCTTTTTTGACAGGTTCTAACACAACCAATGCCTGCTGCTGCTCTTCTTCCTCTTCTTCCACTTCAACCATTTCTTCGTCGACCTTTACCTCTTCATGTTGTTTACAGTATCTGAATATTACTAGACAGATAAATGCTGCCAAAAACCGGAAACAAACACTCTTTAGTTCAGTGTGAAAGTTCAATCTAAGGTAAGTAACTTTCATTTGTTAGAAAGATGGTGGCACTCTTTAGTTCAGTGTGAAAGTTCAATCCAAGGTAATAACTTTCATTTGTTAGAAAGATGGTAATTATATCAATGGTTTATAAATGATGCCAACAACCGGAAAGTAAAAACACTTTTTAAGTTAAGTGTGGAAGTTCAATCCGAGGTAGGAAACTTCCTTTAGTTAGAAAGATGCTAATTGTATAAATGGCTTGTGAATGATGCCAAGAACTAGAAAATGAAACTTCTTAAGTTCAGTGTGGAAATGAAACTTCCATTTGTTATAAAGATGCTAATTGTATAAATGACTTATGAACGATGCAAAGAAACGGGGAAAAAAAAACACTTTTTAGTTCAGTGTGAAAGTTCAATCTAAGATTGGTAACTTCCACTTGTATTAGAAAGGTGCTAAATTGTACAAATGATGAGCTTTTATGAATGCTTCCAAGAACCACGAAAATTCTTTAGTTCAATGTGAAAGTTCAATCCAAGGTAACAACCATTTGCTAGAAGATGTTACTTTGTAAACATGGCTTAGAGAATTGGTTCAATCAGAGGTATCAAAATAATGAACGAATTGGTTCGTGAATTACCTGTAAAGATTCGTGTTCTGACAGTGGTAAGGTTCCAAAATGCTGTCAATACTGATGCAGCTATTATCTTCTTGTGAGAGCAAGCACCCCAAGTTTCCAGCAACCGATGTTTCATATACTTGGCTGTATCAACAAAATACACCCTTTCATTCAATTAATGCAAAAAGTAGAGGCAACCATCAATCAGGAAATAATCTAAGAATCTCCATATCAAGCTGAAACACTTATTTACCTTTATTATATATCTGATGAGAATAAGAGGAATAAAGTTTTGGGGCAGTAAAACTGATGAAAAAACCTGTCACAAGATTGAACACCAACAAGTATTTTGTTTCAATTGTTTAGAGATTTCGAACTAATAACGTGTATATAGGACAATTGAGTGATCTTTCTTACCAAGGGCACAAAGCCTCCATACAGTTATCAAATGGCCATACTCAGCTCCAATTATCAAGATTGGCACTAACTAAAACAACAGACAGGCACATTTCCAATCAATTACAAGAAGTCAAATTTTAGTGCTAAAATATGTAAGTTCAATAACATACTTTGAGGGTCATAGCAGGTTCTCCCGAAAAAAGATCTCGTGTTTTTGAAATTGCGAGATTTGCAGCTGGAAGTATCAATCTTCCCATTCTCAAAATGTCATCTTCAGTCAGCTGATATTCGCGCTTCATTTCTCTACCATCTCTGCAATTCAATAATTGATCAGCATTCAGCAACAACAGTAGGAACTTAATAAATTACTAGTGTAAGGAATTTAAACCTTTACCTTTGGCGAATCGAATGTGAGAAGAATGAAACAACTAAAAACAGTAACCCCAATTGCGATACGATAGAGAAAATGCTGCAATCAAGAATAAACAAAAATGTCATATGGATAACACTTCCTAAATAAAAAGTGGGATATTTGGAAAATGAGAAGAAAATATACCTAAAAGTAACTCCTTTGGCAAAACAAGAAGATAAGAAACAGAGAGACCCCAAACCAAACCAAAGACTTGATCTTGCCACATCTCTCCACATCACCAAATCACTTAAAAGTATCTCAATTCTGTTTATTAAATCACATCCTTCTCCTTCTTTCGATTCTATAACTCGAAAAAAGAAATACACATTCAGCAGAAGAAATGAAATATGTATTTAAAACAATAAAGATTGGATTTTGATACATACTTGATGAGTTTGAAAGAACCAAGCTAAGCTTATCCTTCTTGGATTTACCATTATTCCTCTTCTTTCTTGGTTTAACCACTTCTTCAACTAACCCCAAGTCCCTCTCTTCTCTCATTTCTTGCTCTAACCTTCTTCTCGATCTCCGATTATTACGCGGGGAAACACCAATTGCAGAATTTCTACTCCTTCTCCTCCTTCGAACCCCATTAGGCTCAACCCCATCATCAACTAATTCAAGCTTATCAGCAAGACGAGTCTTGGATCTTCGAAGAGGAGAAGGGGAAAGAAGTAAAAGCTCGTGGAGCGGTAGACCGTTACCATAAGGAGAAACTTCTATTCTTGGTGAAGGGACAATTTCAAGAGAGACTCTTGGAGTGAGAGATTCACTTTCTTCATCATAACGGCGGAGCCTTGAGAGTCTTGAAGCTGATTTTGTTCGGCTTCGAGTTTCGGATCGATGAGATGGAGGAGTTGTATCCATAGTTGAGATTCAAAAATTTCAATATTTTTTTTTTTGTTCTTGATTTTTTGTTGAGATTGTTCTTGGGTGGGATTTTGAATAAAATGTAAAGAAGAAAAAGAGCCGTTGGAGGAAATAATTTATCTTTATCCGGCATTTGAATATATTTTAGCGGCGGAATTTGGGCTCGTTGGGCTTTTTGGTTTAACGGTAGGGAAGAGGAGGCAAGTCCGTTATGTTGCTTTTGACATTTGTGGGCTTTTTGTGCTCTTGGCTTTAACAGCCGCAGTTGTTTGTAGGATTAATTACGGATTAATTACTTACGTGGATCTCTTTTAAAAAATAATTACTTATTTTAAATATACTCTTTAATTATTACCATTTATAGCAATATATAGCAATACTATATATTTTATGAGATTTCTCTCTCGCCTCTTTCTCTTTTTTCTCTCTCAGCTTTATAATTTTCATCTCTTTTTTTTTTAATTTTTTGTTTATATAATTTTTACCTCTCATTCTCGCTCTTTCTCTTCTTTTTTTTATGTCGTTCTTTCTCCCTTCTTTTCTTTTTGTTACTGTTTCTTTCTTGCTTTCTTTTTGTTGCTTTTTTCTTTCTTGCTTTCTTTTTGTTGTTTTTTCTCTCTCTCTTTATGTTGTTTTTTTCCCCTTTCTTTCTCTCTCTCTACTTTCTTTCGTAGAGTAGTGATTCGTAGAATGAATAAAATTTGTATCATAATTAATTAATTAAATAAATAATCTAATCGTAACAAATGAAGAGACATAATAAATTGTAAAATGAATTAAACTTGAATTAAAAATGTATTAAACACATATTAAAGTTGAATTAGAAGAGAATTAAACATGAATGCAAAATGTAGCAAACGAAAGAGCATTCTATGATTTGTAAACTGAATGAATTTGTATCAATAATAAATTTAACAAGTAATTCAATCGTAACAAATCAACCAATAAATTGCAAAATGAATTAAAATTGTATATAAAAGTGTATTACACAATATTAAAGTTGAATTAGAAAAGAGAATAAAGAATGAATGAAAAACGTATCTAACGAAAGACAAGACAACTATCTATAAACTGAATTAAACTTATATTATTCATGAATAAAACTTATATTATATGTATCTTATAAATTATATTTGCTTTTATCACTAAGAAAATGAGTGATGGTTACAATATGTATTAAAAATGTATTGTGCGTGTCTTATAAATGTATTATTAGTGTGTTACCTAAATTATTCTTGTTGGTATCCGTAAGAAAGGAGTGAAGTATGTAGTACGTATTATAAATGTATTATTCATGAATAAAACATGTATTATATGTATCTTATAAATTACTTTTGGTTTGTATCACTAACAAAGTGAGTAATATTTGCAATATGTATTAAAAATGTATTGTTCATGTATTATAAATGTATTATAAAGGCCCGTTTGGCCATAGATTTCCCAAATAATATTTGGAAAAAAATTTGGTAAATAGTGTTTGTCCATACAATTTGTCATTATTTGGCAAATATCCCAAATTCCCAATTTCACAAGTCGTGATGACACCTATGTTCCCAATCAATAGGTAAGCCAAACCCAACAGATTTACCAAGCATAATTAACTAATGAGGTAAAAAGGTAAACAACGAGTAAAATTTCCAACACTAAATTCTTTATAAATATGAAACGCGGAAAGCTAGAATACTACCCAAGAATTGGTGTCATAAGTACAAGAGCTTCTAAATATGATGCAAGTCTAAAACTAAATGACAAATTCAAACATAAGGGATATTCTGTCTGAATACTAAAATAACAAAATAAATAAAAGGTAGAAGTAATCTAAACCTAACAAATGAAGAGACATAATAAACTGCCAAATGAATTAAACTTGAATTAAAAATGTATTACACATATATTAAAGTTGAATTAGAAGTGAATTAAACATGAATGCAAAATGTAGCAAACAAAAGAGCATTGTTGTAAACTGAATAAAACTTGTATCAACAATGAATTAAACAAGTAATTCAATCATAACAAATCAACCAATAAATTGCAAAACGAATTAAGTTGTATTAAAAGTGTATTACACAAATATTAAAGTTGAATTAGAAGAGAGAATTAAGCATGGATAAAAAATGTAACTAATGAAACACCAGACAATGATCAATAAAGTGAATTAAACTTATATCAATAATGAATTAAACAAGTAATCTAATAGTAGCAAATAATAAACTACAAAATGAATTAAATTTGCGTTAAAAGTGTATTACATAATATTAAAGTTTAATTAGAAAATAAAATTAGCAATGCAAAATGTAACTAACGAAAGACAAGACAATAATCTATAGACTGAATTAAACTTGTATTATTCATGAATAAAATATGTATTATATGTGTCTTATAAATTATTTTGGTTTGCATCTCGAACATGAGTGATGTTTGCAATATGTATTGTGCCTATGTTATAAATGTATAGCAAATTTGTTACTTAAATTATTTTGGTTGATATCACTAAAAAGGGAGTGAAGTTTGTAATACGTATTATAAATGTATTGTTCATGATTTTAATTCAATTTTAATACAATTATGAAACATATCTAATACAACTTTAATACAATTGCGATACAGTTCCATAAACTTCACCTTTTTCGAGTTTCAATGTAATATTTTTCCTAAAATCAATTATACACTAAACCAAACCCTCTTAAAATTGAGATATAAACTCCAAACAATATTTTCAATTATTTGTACGAACTACCTATCCAAACTAATTACAAATTTGTAAAATTCAAATAATGAATTCAAAATATAATGACCATCAATGGTGAACTCTTACTTCTGTAATTTTAGAGATTTGAAATTTCTGCTTAAAACATGATTTTGTACAAATTTTCGGTTTTTCTGTTTCTCTTTTCATCTTGTTTTTGGATAAAAATAGTGAAATATGGGAAAAAACTGATTTGAGGATAGTTATTTAAATGAAAATTTCAAAGAAGAAGAAGAAAAAAAAAAGAGGAGCAAGAAAAATAGTGTCAGAGAAAGAGACGAAGAAGCAGAAGAGTAAAGAGAAGAAGAGGAAAAAGGGCTAAGAAAGAGGCGAAGACTGTACAATTTTCTTAATTAAAAAAAAAAGTTATATTTAGTTAGAAAAATTATGTTGTCATAGATGGTAAATATTTTTATAATATAGCATATTTATGTGATTTATCCTTGTTTGTAATACTTAAATGGAAAAATTATGTAATATGACAAGACTTAAAAAACCCACTAATTATGTATTTTAATACTCTATCCGTCTCAATTTATATTCCATCGTTCAACAATAGTTGTCCACTATACTATTTTGAGATGTCCAACAATACTTGTCCACTTTATGAAATCAATAAATAATTTTACACTTAATTTTTATTTTATCCTTATCATTAATTATAGTCATTTTTCTAGACATTGTATTAATTATACTCAAAGGGTGATATAATAAGATCACTCTTCTATTTATAGTTTCTTAAGACGTGTGCAAAGTCAATAATAGATAAGTATTGTTGGACATATGAAGTATGATATAGTAGTTTGATTTCATATGGATTTTAAAATAAACTTTTGAAACTTGTGGTCTAAAATAAATCATTGATGTTTGTGTTGCTATAATTCATTTATTAAGGGTAACACAGATATATTAAAGTTCAATTATTACTAAATATAAAAATGTGTCATTCTTTTTGTACTAACTAAAAAGAAAAGTGAATCATATAAATTTACATTGGATAAAGGGAATAATTGTTTTAAGTTGTTACAAAAAAACAGCTAGATTTTTATTGTGGTATATTTTTATGGTATGTGTATGTATACATGTACATATGTATGATTATATATAGGCATAATACATAAATATGCCTTTTAATTTGATGTTAACCGATATTTATGCCCTCCAACTTTAGTAGGTATAAATAGACACTTAAACTTGTATAAAATTGAACAAGTAGACATGTGCATCTTATATGACATAATTTGAATCAGTTCAAACGCATCTCACGTGAATTGTTGCGCAGCAATTATCAGTCAACTCGTACAACTTTTATTAGTATTTGTTTTTGTTGTAGACTTGGACCAAGTTTGACAAAGTGACGGAAGAAAAAAGGCTTATTGCTGTTTGGCATTTCTGAAACAAAAGGCTTTGATCCTGCTAAGGCCATCCTCAAGAGCTGAAATTTCCACAGCAAAAGTTACTCTTACCCAATTCTTCAATCCAAGTGCTTCCCCTGCAATGCATTGAATTTATCAACAATGCACGTAAAATTCCCTCTACCTATCGATTATGTTGTAGAGTAATGCAACTTAAGAAATTACCGGGTAGAACAACTACAGATTCCTCTCTAGCAAGCCTGGTGCAGAATTCCATATCATTGTTGATGCCTTCCAGAAATGACATGTTTAGTTTTGCCTGATAGAAATGATCGCAAATAAGACTATATATTCAGATTCTTATTCAAACTAAATCCTAAAAAATACTTATATTAAGACTAAGGTGTTTATAGCAATACCATAAGAAACATAGATCCTTGTGACTTGTATGGAGTAAAGCACGGAATCTCCCTTAGACCAGCATAGCAAATGCCTGCTGCTTTTCTCAGTAGGTTTATGGTATTTGAGTAGAAATCTTCAGGTGTTTCAGCAAGAATACGAGTAATAGCACCCTCGAGAATGAAAGAGAACAAGGTTAGATACTTGGATTTGGTTTCATTTTTTTGGAAGCAATATAATCCAAATAGCACAAAAATACTTCATGGAAAATAATGTGTATCACGAGAAACACCACGTGATAATTCAGAAATATGGGAAAAGATATTTGTCTATGAAAAGGAAAGTAAGACAAACAAATTGAAATGGAGGGAGTATAATTTGGATGCTGATGCAACCCGAGTATCTGGAATTATGCGTTTTGTGTTGACACGAAAATGTTTAGGCCAGATACCATCATAACATTGTTAAATTACTGCTAACAGAGTAGTTTTCCATGCTTTTAAGGTGACAACATTTTGT